AAAAATATTCTTCCTGCTGAGTGAGGAGGTGTAATTTTTGTCCGGTTTCCAATCCTTTGTACCAGTTGCTGAAAGGACAACAGGTTACTACTAGATCATTGTTTGAGAGCTCTACGGTAGACATGGCCTAGTGAAAATGCCCACACTAAGCCCAGTCAGATTGTTGGACATGTTTAATATCTTAGGATGAACCTTAAAAGTGTCTGTGGTACAATGCAATGTTGATATGTTCTTCTACATTTAATAAAAATATTGGGCTTATGAAAATCTAAAGAATTATGAGACGGAAACAACAGACAACAGATGTTACCTAAAACATGAGAAGCATACAGGAACTTGCAGAGATGCGATGTTTAGAAGTAATGAACAGTGGAAATTTGTAAAATGTATATTAAACCTGGAAAATTTCACCATTAATCAAATATAAAATATAGTTCTCAAAAAAATGAGTAGTATATGTTAGAATCAATAAATGTAGGTGAACTGTTAAATTTAGGTGAACTGAAGCCTATTTTGATAAAATATGACCAAGTGAAAAAAATGAGAAAACTATAATGGTTTAATATTACAGAGTATAAAAGTGGTGCTGTGGCTCATGAAATGGCAAAGTGGTCACATAAGTGATATTCAACGAAAGAAGAAAATTAGGGAACAATCTATTTTTGAATAGAAAATTATTGTACATGTTTTTAGAACTGTTGAAAGATACCAACCCACAAATTTTGCAAGGTATTCATTTCCAAGAGGGAGAAAGCCAATTCAAACCACATGTAGGCATAACTCAGTATCTAGAAATTAATGGGAAAGCTAAGATCTGTATTGAGGTAGATAAAATATGTCACCTACAAAGAAAAACGATGAGCTTGACTGTAAAACTACATCAGCAAGGGAGTGGGAAGAGATATAATGCAATGATAAGGAGGGAACATAGATAGGCATAAGCATACAACTTCATACACCCAAAAGTCCCCGTATAATAAAGTAAAACATCACATTGACGCAGTATACAATGTTACCTTAAAAGGAAATAATATAAAAGTTACATGATAAATAGTTGAAAATTCAGTTTTTTTCAATTTTTCACAATTTGACATGATAGATTAATTAAAGAAAGACAGTTACTGAAAAAATATGGACATTTAAAAATGATGAAGGGACCGGGGAGATAGCTCAGTAGAATACGCGATTGCCTTGAAAGCACAAGGGCCTGAGTTCAATTCCTGGTGAAAGAAAGAAAGGAAGGAAGAAAGAAAGGA